ATACCCAGGCCCATACAAAATTTATAATACAGTAAATGTATTATTTTTGCAAATTTTGCCGTTGCAAATCCAAAAATATACTAATCTCTAATAAAAGATCAGTGAAACAGACGCAACGGGACTTCATAGTTAGTAAATCAAATACTTCAAAACATGTGCATAGTATTAAAAATATGTTACAAAACCAAAATGTTAAAACTATCTGATCGTTAAACTAAACCTCTACTAGCCAATATTTCACATGAACTAAATCAAACCTGGTGTTCGGTCGTTATCCAATATCGTGCACGCTATAAAAGGATAAAAAACTTCCCTCTGCGTTCATAACGGTTTAATAAGAATTAGTTATGCTTCACCGCGTCACAAAGATGGCGTGTAATACAAAAAAATTGCACCTAATCATGTTCAATTACTTCACACTTCATGAATCATCTGTTTTATTGAAGTATCTTAAAACGATGGTACGATATCGTGGACTATGGTACTGTTTCTATTGCCATATTTCAACCCTCGGCCAGAGATGTAAGGAAAGCGGCCAGCACTACCCTCTGTAGTGTGAGTATAAAAAAACTAAAAAGCCTTTATTCGAGTACACTACACTAAATTATACGATGTCCATGTCATTATATTTTATTTGTTCATTATTCATGTCATTATAAAAAAATATTCGAATATTGTTTCATTCAATGTACACTTATGAACGTCAAAATATTAAATGCTTCTAATTTTCATTTACTGCCATTTCTCAAATCAAGGGCGTTGAACGGAAGAGAAGAATTGGCAATAATATACTAATTATTCATGAAGTGTGAAGGTGCATTTTTTTTGATTTCATAAGATATTTAATTAACATTAAATCTCATTTTAATGTATTTTTACAGCCTTGCCGTTTGTTTTGGACAGTTATGTTTATTTTTTCATAATATTGATTAACATAATCCTCATTATTTCGTAGGTGTGGTTGAAGTGTCACGTCATAATATCACGTTATGTCCGAAGCCTATAAGGAATGATACGGTTATTTTTGATTTAACTGAAGGTCTTTCGAACCATTTATACTTAATAATGCATGGGGCAGGCACTTCCACTGCTGTTTCAATTACCTTTCTATGCAAGTAAAGTGCACGTGAGTCTGACTTTTGTCTTTAATTTTCCTGGACTTATCGCTTTCTATAAAATATTTTCGTTTGTTTTGTGCTGATTGAAGATAGAATGAAATTTTTTTTAGGTTCACAGCCGAAATTCAGGCACACAATGGACAGAACAATTTTTAACACTGTTGCTTCTTTGATTAGTAATAATAATAAAAACATTTTTTATTCGTATATATATATATATATATATATATTCGTATATATTCGCACATATTTAATACACTTCAGTATTCTAATGATAGATATAATATCTAACACAAACTCTTCATCCACATACCAAGCGCCAAAGTCCTCTCCCACTTTTCGCCATTTACTTACATTGCGCGCCATTTATATAACTTCCAATAATGTTTTTGTCATCCCATAGATAATGATCATCCTCTACTACGAGGAATACATACATACCCTCACCGCCATTCAAAACACTCACTTTTCTCAAGTACTAAAATAGCAATTACAGAAATTTCCAGCGACAAACCTAGTAACAAATTGGTATCGCTTGTTCAAAACGGAAACGCTCATATAAGCTAAAGTTCGCAGACAATGAGCATTGCTAGCATTTTCTCGAATATTCAGCACATTCGCGTACAATTTCTTGGGTCGTGTCGAAACTAATTTGACATCCGCACGAAACGACCATGCATAGCAAATGTGCTTCTGAGTGATGTATAAAATATGCACGCACGCCCTGATTGTGCTATAAGTAATATCACTGTTATTGCCACCTCATAATTTTAAGTTATTATCGTGACTTGGATTTGGGAAATAGCTTATTAACGCTTGGTATGATGATTAAATGCAGAAATTTAAATCATACATGCTCTGTGCCGTACGAAATTGTTGTTGTTTTTACCGGAATTAAAATAAAATAATAGCAAAACCAGGTGTTTTTTTTAAAATTTTGTTTTAATGTTTGTTTCCCTCCCCCCCCGGGGGGGGGGGGGGGGGGGGGGGGAAAATTTTTTTTTTAAATTTGGTGTGGGGGGGGGGGGGGGTTTTTTTTTTTTTCCCCCCCGGGGGGGGGGGGGGGGGTTTCCCCAAATATTTTTTTTTTTTTTTTTTTTTTTTTTTTTTTTGGGGGGGGAAAAAAAAGGGGGGGGGGGGGGGAGGGGGGGGGGGGAAAAAAGGGGGGGGGGGGGGGGGGGGGGGGGAGGAAAAAAAAAAGGGGGGGGGGGGGGGGGGAAAATTCGACGTGTATTATCTATATTTATAAAATTCTCGTGTCACAATGTTCGTTCCCATACTCCTCCGTAACGGCTAGACCGAGTCATATGAAATTTTTTATGCATATTCAGTTAGTCTGAGAATCGGCTACTATCTATCTTTCAACCCCCTAAGTGATAAGGTGTGTCCACCCCAATTATTTCTTTTTTTAGACATTTTTTTAGTTTTTATTTTTTATGTATTTTTGTATGCTGTATAAGCATACAAAAATACATACATCGCCTAATTTTCACCCTTCTACGATCAACCCCTATTTTTTATTATGGAACATAGTTATTTTTATTGCACTGAAAAAAAATTCTAGAAATAATATACATAGCAAAACAACGTTTGCCGGGACAGCTAGTTTTTTTATATGTGTGTTCAACATTAATTCGTTTTCCGTGGACTGATCTAAAGGATCGAGGTTTCAAATTAAACGATTAAATTTATAGAATAGAAAGCTTTTTAAATTAATAGAAAAAAAGCTAATACATATTATTCTCTATATATAAATTAATTTTTGTTGAGTCGATTCTATTATTAAATTTATTAAGAACTCATCAAATAATCCTTGTTCAAACTGTGCACGCCTAGTTGTAGGATATCGTAATACACAATTTAACATGTATATCAATTGGTTACTTGTTGTTTGTAAAGGTGAGTCTTCTATTTTTAAATTACGATTTTTAGAAAAAAAAATTGATATTGGAAAAATACAACCGAAATCGATACAAAAAATATTCGCTAAACTATGAAGTTTATTTTTTAGCAAATAAACTTCATAGTTCAATTGAAAATATCGATTTATATATAGCATAACTTAGTAATTTGTAACAAACCCATATGGCGATAAGGTACCCTTCCTCATGATAAACAACATTTTTATTATGCATTTAACTTAAGAAAACATGTTTAAATACACAAGATATAATCTATACATAACATTATAATCCTGCGTACAAATTAGATACGGTGTATGCATATAAGCGCCGGGAGAGTATTTAGCAAACTGGATTGTAACCGCATTATTGCTGACCAGCTTCTCTTGTCGAGGGACGCTTTTATACTCGGATGATATTTAAATTTAGAATACTAGAAATTGCATTCAACGAGAGAACAGTAGATCCCTAGAGGTTTATATTTAGTTTATACTTTTTGTAAGATGCTGTCGAACTGATTGTCTGCAATTATAGGTGTTATGTATTATTATTAGGTGTTCACATTTACTGCATATAATTTAGCAAAATAATTCATAGCTATTTAAATCAAAATAATTGATAGTAAGTTAAGTAAGTTTTGCTTTTAATTCCCAGTTTCGTAACCACTAAACTATACATGGGCTACACTTAGGACTAATTATTAAACAAAATTTATTTATTAACAATAGCATTCCTGCCCTAACTGGCGACCCTAAATTGATAAGAGTGCACAATAAGTAAATAAAAATTACAGACGAAACAAAAAAAATAAACATAAGAAATTACGAAAAACAAAAATACATAATAAAAAATAGAAAAAATTAACTAACTACTATAGGCACTAACAAATAATACAACTTTTGACACTTCACTCAACGGACAATTAAAAAGGTCCGTTAACCTATGTAATTTGTTATTATATACATATTTGTTAAACTAAATTAATACACCGAATCATATGTGCCCTTTTCAGAAGGTTAGTCCTAGCTGTGGGCACATGAAGTAACGGCGAACGATATCGCTTTCTGACGTACCCATCAGGCACATTGACTCTAAGATACTGAAGTACTGTCGAATTACTGCTCATGTAACAATTTTATGAAGTAAATCACAAGCGCAAATTCTCATCGTACTCTGAGCTCATTATAGCCCACAGAACCAAGAATAAATAAGATCGGATACATAAGTGGGTAAAAAGGGTGCACACATCCTAAGATGGTGCCTCAAAAATTTGTTTCGCTCCAACATCACCTTTTACTTAATTTCATAAATCCCAAATCTCTCAGTATAACAGTCTTAGTCAGTCAGTCAGTCAGTCCTAACAGTGAACTAGTTAGGAAAATTAAATTGTAGGAAGTAGTATATGATTGCGTATATGTTTAAGCTATTTTAATGAGTTAAGCATTAATTCAATATTCAGTTACAATGGCTCAAATCAGTCGTAATTTCAGTGCATCAAATTTCGTGTTTCTCGCGGTTTCATCTATTTGTCAAAAAATTTAAGAAAAAGGCTGGACGGACATCTTTAGCTCTCCATAAATTATATTTTACGGCCTAATCTATTATCAGTTGAGCCATTTAGGGAGTGTAATGACACACCGCACTATTTCGATGTATGTATAATTTAATTTAACGATTTTCTTTTAATTAATCAAATTTTCATCTTCAGTAAAGGCTAATATTAAAAGCGTATATTCAATAAATATATAAGACAAATTATTTGTTACATATTTTCCCTTTCTTTGTAATACGAAAATGTATTATCAAAATACGTTCATATTTTTCTATTTGGGTTTCATTTATTTTCACGGATATTAGATGGCCTTTATACAAAAATCTATTGTGTCTTACTATAAAGGTCAGATTATTCACAATACAATTATATATAATACGAATAAACTTTTATTTTAAGATCTCATTTAATGAATGAAAATGAATAAAAATGTGGAATGTAAATTATAGGTAAGCTAAAAAATTGTGAAATATGTGGCGCTTTAAACTGACACAACTTTTCACACTTTTGTACGTGCCATTACAATCATTAATTGACCAAACATATAGTCATGTCAAAAAAATATATGTAAAAATTCAATCAAACAGGCATGATATATGACTCAATTTACGTATATACATTTAGAGATATATAATTTAAATAATAATTTATAACAATCATTAATCATATCCATTCATCGGTCCAAGTTCATTAATGATTTTTATAGTTCATTTTACCATTTCGAATAAAAAACATGATTTGCCACAATACGGTATTTTGGCATTATTTATTTTGTAATCATAGGGCTAACAAACTTTATATATAATAACAAAAAAATCACTAAAATTAAGCCAAAAATGGAATATATGTAAGCCGACAAAAATGTCAAAAACATTTACAACAGGAAAAAAAACAAACAAAAAATGTTTAATGCATTTAACTAAGTAACACCTAATTTGGCTGTGTTGTGTGATGGTGTAAAAGTGAAGATGTGTACGTGGGGTATGCCCAGCAGGCGTTATATTTTAATTTTGTCATTACATCACAATTTTCTTCCTAAACTTTATGATACAAATTCTTTAGCCTGTTATTAAGGTATCATCATGTTATTAACGTTATAAGTGTCATAGTTGTATCGCAGCACTATATATAAGACATTATTAGCATGACGTTTCACTAGTCAACACTTATAATGACCTCATGGATGTTTTTAAATATCAATCTATATTTGATTACTTAATTAAAAAAAATAAAAATATAATATATAAAATTCTCGTGTCGTGTGTGGTGTTTGTAGTTAAACTCCTCCGAAACGGCTTGACCGATTCTCATGAAATTTTGCTTATTGGGTATGTCTGACAATCGGACAACATCTATTTTTCATCTCCCTAAATTTTAAGGGTAGTCCACCCCTAAATTTAGTTTTTTATTTTTTAGATTTTTTTTTGTTTTTATTTTTTTATGATACAACATTAAAAAATACATATTACCCTAAATTTTGAACTCTCAACGATCAACCCCTATTTTTTACTATAGTAATTTTTATTGAGCTTAAAAAAAGTTTCCTAAAATTATTTTACGTACATGGCAAAACGACGTTTGCCGGATCAGCTAGTAATAATATATTATTATTATAATTATAAGTATCATTGAAGAAATAGTGCTTTAATCTTTTTTATAAATTATACCAAAGTTTATTGTCAATGTCATAAAGAAAACATAAATCTAATAAATATAAATATATATATATATATAAACATAAAGCGTACATTTATATTTTTAAAAGCCATTTTTTATTAATATATAACATTTTGATTTTTTAAGAACGCCTCAAAATGTTTGCCTTTTGAAATAGAAAATCATTTTTCACTTGTATGCATCGCTTTATTTATCCACCTTTGTGTTTAGCCACCCCGCTATTAATGTAAAATTTTCCTATAATCGACCGAAAACCATAATCTTTAGTCAAAAAAATAACGGTTTTACTGTGACAAAACTCCATAGGCACCAGCCAAACTTGTTGCTTATAAATCGGTTGTTTTTTGGATTTATCACACTATTTTTGATTTTTACACACGCTCTCGCAATTACTTATATTACAAAAACATGCGTATCATGTAAAAAAAAACAGTAATATCTGAGACAGAATCTATGACTGGTGTGATACCCTGGGACACTCGCAGATCATCTGAATTCGATTTTGGCAATATTTTTCGCGACCTCTTTAATAATAACTGTTATATTCAGCTAATTTACTTAAAACCAAAATGATTCATACATTTAAACCTTTCTCTACTATACATCGACGCTTTAAAAAAAACAGCATACATATTTATTTTATAATATGTAATGTATATTTGTATTTTCAGCTACGATGGCCGAGTTAAGGGACCCTCGGCGCATTGGGCGGACGCGTCCCTCGGAGGGCGGGCAAGATGGCACGCGTCACCACACTCCGCGCTCAAAATACGTGACGTGGTCCCAACTGACCGTGCCCTGTACCGGTGTAGAGTCGACTTCAAAGTGTCACCAACCAAGAATCATAAGCTAATGCTTCACGTTATAGGTAAGTAATGTGCGTTTAATATAAATTATGTGTTAATAATTTAAATACGTCCCGTGGTAGACAATTTTGATTAATATTATTTATTGAGTATGTAAGTATGTATGTTTTATTTTAAGACAGTTGCTGACTGCTAATTTTTTAGTAAAAATTTAACAACACTTACATTCCTGCATTGTGGATCTTATTTTTACTAAAGAGTACTGTTTGGACTCAGAATACTTGTTATTTTTATTTCATATTTGTATTGAATTTGTGTTAATTTATTTTACAACAAAGTCAATACGAGATAAACAATTAATGTAAAATTAATTACTTATCATTAGTATGATATATTAAGCACTGCTGGCCTAGTGGCTTCAGCCTGCGACTTTCATCTGCGGTCGTAGATTCGATCTCCAGATGCACCAATACACTATACAGGGTGTCCCAAAAGTCGACGTCAAGTCGAAATTTTCTCATAGGTAATGCCACACCAGTTATCAGAAAAATTAAAAAAAAATTATGTCATGTATTTTTGAAGTTATGGAAATTTTCCTTTTATTCCAGAAAATGTACACCATGTGACAGTTTTTTCATTCCTGTTGTTACAAATATTTACTTTTTGCCAATTTTTTTTCTCTTACGTCATCCCGAATAGTGCTTTATGTAACCTATGATCCTAAACCCTGTGCCTATCACTCCAACTTGTAGGAAAATGTCATTTTATACCGTACCAAGTTTTCAAAATTAATTTTTCGCACTAGTTCAACTGATCGTCCTGAAAAAAAAATGTATTACTCCAGTTTGGCAAGCAGCTTTAAAAGTTCGCGCATTTAATAAGGATTCTAACGTGGTGTAACACTTACTTCATTATTTCTTAGATCGGCCATAAAAAAAAATTCTATTAAACAAAGTCTGTTTTTAAAAATTTCTCTGGAATTACAAAAAACGATTCTAGTGTACCCAAAGCGTTCCTAATAACCACAGCGTGGTTTAAATAAGATGGCGTAAAGTGTGAGCGAGACAGATAGTGACGCTACTTATTGCTATTGACACACGCACTACAGGTCAGTACGCAACGCTCCTTCGTTTACTACGCATCTTTTCGTATTCGCTGGTGTTATTTTGTGTTCTAACTACTTTGGCTTCGTTTACGGACTTGTTTGCTTGTGATTTGGATTTTACATTTGTGATCTACGACGACCTTTACTTTTCCCTGGACTTACGTGTTATTGTGTATTTGTACCATACCATGGCTACGTACACTACACAGGAATATGCTAACATGCACCTCATTTATGGGGAATGTTTATGTAATGCCAGTGAAGTGGCTAGACGGTATCGCGAGAGATACCCTAATGCATATCGCTATCCGGATCACAGAGTTTTTACCAGTGTGCACCGTCTACTGTTCTCTGAGGGCCGACTGCCAAACCAAGTGCACGGTGAAGGTAGAATTTCACTACCCTACGAGGCAGTTGTCCTTCAAGCAGTTGATGAGGACCCAAGTTGTTCGGTACGTGGAATTGAGGCCAGCACAGGTGTGCCCAAAAGTACAGCTCACCGAATACTACAAAAAATGAGTTCCATCCATTTCATGTACAGCGAGTACAATCCTTATTACCTCGAGATTATGAACCTCGGGTTGCTTTTTGCCAAACAAACAATTTGCTGGAGGACGTGCCGCTTACTATTTTACGAGATATGTGGTTCCAGCAAGATGGTTGTCCAGCGCATTACAGCCGCTTAGTTCGAAACCACCTTAACGAGGAGTATCCAGACAGATGGATAGGGCGGGGTGGTACAATCTCGTGGCCCGCTCACCCGATTTAAATCCTCTTGATTTTTTTACTGGGGAGCAGTAAAGGAAAAAGTCTATTCCAAGTCGATGCAAAATGTAGAAGAGCTTAGACAGAGAATAGCGGAAGCAGTAGAATTTGTGAATAATGGACGATTTGCCCGCTTCATTTCACGATCTTTTTTAAGGAGATGTCGAGCCTGTATTGCAGCTGAAGGACGGCAATTTGAACATCTTTTATAAAAAAAGTAATAAATCTAATCATAAAAAAGAAACTGTCTATTTTACTTATTTGCGTCCGTATGTCATTAGCGTCACTATCTGTCTCGCTCACATTTTATGGAATGTCTCTCTCCATCTTATTTAAACCACGCTGTGGTCATTAGGAGCGTTTTGGGTGCGCTAGAATCATTTGTTGTAATTTCAAAGAGATTGTTAAAAACAGACTTTGTTTACCAAAAAAAATTCTTATGGCCGATCTAAGAAATAATAGACTCAGTGTTATACCACTGTAGAATCCTTATTAAATGCGCTAACTTTTAAAGCTACTTGCCAAATTTTAAAGCTACTTGCCAAACTGGAGTAATACATTTTTTTTTCAGGATGATCAGTTGAATCAGACGATCAGTAGTGCGAAAATTAATTTTGAAAACTTGGTACGGTATAAAATGACATTTTCCTAAAAGTTGGAGTGATCAGCACAGAGTTTAGGATCATAGGTTACATAAAACACTATTCGGGATGACGTAAGAGAAAAAAAATTGGCAAAAAGTAAATATTTGTAACAACAGGAATGAAAAAACTGTCACATGGTGTGCATTTTCTGGAATAACAAAAAAATATCCATAACTTCAAAAATACATGACTTATTTTTTTTTTAAATTTTTCTGGTGTGGCATTACCTATGAGAAAATTTCGACTTGACGTCGACTTTTGGGACACCCTGTATATGTGCGTATCTACGAGTAACACTCCCTCGTACGGTGAAGGGAAACATCGCGACAGAACCGGCATGTCAACTCCCAAGGCCAAGACTCATTTGCAGTGGGTTGTAGTGCCACTGGAGATTTATTATCATTATGATATATGTTAAATATGAACATCTAATAGCCTCAGGTATTTTCTATAAAACGTTCTAAAATTTGAGTTTATATCAAACCATATTGGTTCTAAACTTAGTAGGCGTGAGTCAAACAAAACTAAAACGCCCCACCACGAGTCAACTTCAAAGTATCACTTGGAACTTGTAACGCCTGCAAGTTGTATGTTATCGGTGCAAACTTCATTCAATACCAGACTAGCTGCATGGTTAAAAGTTTAGACTTGATTTAATTTAGAGCACTGCGATTTAAACTTTGGGCTTTGAGGAGTCTTTGATTTGGAATCTCTTTATTGAATTTAGAAAGTACGATATATAATACGAATAGAACGTTTTGATGAAAAATTGATGAGAGTGAAATTTTACGATGCGCGCGCACCGTGACACAAAATTAACAGAATGAAGTTGCCCACGGAAGATGCTACGGCATTGGACATAATTTTAAAACAACATTCGAATAATAATAGAATTTATGTTACACTTAATGAATATACTATAATGACTCCTTTTCCAGTCTTTGATTATTTAATTGTAATTAATTATTTTTAATAATGGCAAAGAAAAAAAAAAACTATACTTATTATTGTGATACTTTTTGACATCCAACACCTTTTGTCTTCAGTCACCGTGACCACGCACGCTGTAAAGCACGCGAAACGTCGGATAAATTTAAAATTATGTTAAATAATTGTAAATTTATAATAATACATAACTTTAATCCGGTTAAAAAGTGTTTTTTCTTTAAATGTGTAAAGGTTATGTTAATCAAAGACAATACTAATGGCAAAGAAGTATAACTTCTTACGCACGTACATAAGTACACGCACCCTTTTTGCTGTAAAAGTGAATCTACGTAGTATTTTTAAAGGACTTCATAAACGGAGTCAGGTTATTAATGTTTGAGTATGATTTTTGTGGATATTTTCGGAAGCGGTTTCATTATATTCAATATTGTTTCTCCTTATACCAATTATTTTGATGCTCTATCAGAGTAAATGTATTCCATGAATTGATCATTATATTATAAAGGAGATTCTTAACCTACATAGTAATAGTAAAAATTATAAAAAGAAAATTAAAACAAATTTAAAAAGTTTGGCCCATGTGGCACCATTTCCTCGCTGTATTGCGATACTTGTCCGTTGAGCGAGGAATGCACCAGCTCTGGGGTCATCGGTACTATCAACCAGCCCTGCGATTCTGTAACTCACTTTTCGAACTCACACAGCGGTTTTCGGATCGCCGGTCGCTCTCAAATCAGTCGTGAAGCAGTCATTTTATGATTTGGCATTCTGAAAAGGTGGAAGCTTGTAGTTTATTGTTTATTAGAGTGCCAAATCATAAAATGACTGCTTCACGACTGATTTCAGAGCGACCGCCGATGCGAACACCGCTGAGTGAGTTCGAAAAGTGAGTTACAGAATCGCAGGGCAGGCGCCAAATTAAATTCTTTAATTAGCGCCTGTGCACTTGAACAATACGGCTACTTTAAAGGGAACAAAACCGAAGTTGGAGGAAATACTCTTATATTTGAGCCGTTTATTACTTTCTCTAACCACCCCAGTTTTTTTGCTTGTCCGAGGGAGGTGAGACGAGGCTAACGTTCCATACAAGTAGCATCCCATACCAAAGCCCGTCCCATCTTCCAAAGGATCAACGAATACACAGTTACATGGGACTTTGACTAAGATAGAATGATAAATAAGTTTTATGTGTTCTAGTAAATAAGGTTGATAAGTAAATAAAAATAACTAAATTCGGTGGTTTTATCCTCACTATAATATTATTATTATTGTAAAATTACTTAGACAAATGAATAAACCTTATTAAACAGGCGTATTAATGAGACTTTTTTGTCTAAAATTATTGCAAAACTATCCTTCAAATGAAACAAAATATGACCATTACAATAACATAACCTTTCTAAAAAACCCCTAACTACCCATTATTATTATTCGATAATCTTTTCTGTTTTAAACCATTTAAAAAATATTCACAATATAATTAATACATAAAATACACTTTGAATCTATAAGACGTGATGATTCTTTGGAATCGTTCAAGAACTTAAAGCTTATGATACATTAAAACGATATCTGATTAAAAAAAACTACTGCCCTATCAAGAAATCT